TGAAACCACAGCATTTCTTCTGGCAGTGGATATAGGGGCGGTGGATCTGGATCTAATAATCATGAGCCAGGTGAAGTGCAGACAATTTCATGTGAAAAATTGAAATAAAAAAGGCATAGTGTCAGTGCCAAGAACAGGAGGAAAAGCTCTCCCTCATACCCTCCACTGACCCTTTATCCACCCAAAGCCATCCTTTATGTTGCCATGGATAAACTAGGTCTTTGTAAATTCAGACAGAGAATACAAATAAATAGGCTAAAATAAAGGAAAAAGTTACCAATTAATTCTTCGTTTTTAAGGATGAAAATGAGTCCCAACTTTGAGGTAACTGATGTGTCATGATTTGATTTATGGGAAGCCACAGACATTGAAATATCTCTTTACAGGAAAACTAAAACTGTTGCCACTAATTGTATAAGTACATCAAATCCCCCAACTATTTTGGGTCTACACTGAAGTTTTTACATTTATACAGTAATACACCTAAAATAAGAGCCTGGTAATTTCATTGATGGGTATTACAAGAGCTGACAATTCTGGATCATACTGACTACGTTAGACATTTTCATAACCAATCTAAATATCTAAAAATGTTTTATAAAACAACTCAAACTTAAGAGGGAAAATTGACACAGCTTTCTTTAGCACTCCAAGAGCTCTTTTCTTCTCTTGGATGCTAAGAGTGTGAGTGCTCACTCTGGGAGGCCGAGGCAGGAAGATTGCTCAAGGTCAGGAGTTCGATACCAGCCTGAGCAAGAGTGAGACCCCATCTCTACTAAAAATAGAAAGAAATTAATTGGCCAACTAATATATATAGAAAAAATTAGCCAGGCATGGTGACACATGCCTGTAGTCCCAGCCACTTGGGAGGCTGAGGCAGTAGGATTGCTTGAGTCCATGAGTTTGAGGTTGCTGTGAGCTAGGCTGACGCCACAGCACTCACTCTAGCCTGGGCAACAAAGCGAGACTGTCTCAAAAAAAAAAAAAAAAAAAGACTTAAATGTACCTGAAACTATAAAACTTCTAGAAGAAAATATAGAGGGGAAAGCACCACGACACTGGTCTGGGCAAAGATTTTTGGAATATGACCCATATGGCATAGGCAATAGAAGCAAAAGTAGAGAAATGAAATGGGATTACATTAAACTAAAAAGCTTCTGCACAGCAAAGGAAACACTCAACAAGAGACAGCCTATGGAATGGGAGAATATCTTTGCAAACCATACATCTGATAAGGGGTTAATATCTAAAACATAAAAGTAACTCAAGCAACTCAATAGTAAGAAAATAACCCAATTAAAAAATGGGCAAAAGACCTGAATAAACATTTCTCAAAAGAAGACATACAAATGGCCAACAGATATATAAAAATGCTCCATTATCATCACTTATCAGGGACATGCAAATTAAAACCACAATAACATATCACCTGACACCTGTTAGAATGGCTATTATCAAAAGGACAAAAGATAACAAGTGTTGGCGAGATGTGGAGAAAAGGAAACCTCTGTATACCGTTGGCAGGAATATAAATTAGTACAGCCATTATGGAACACAATATGTAGGTTTCTCAAAAAATGAAAAATAGAAATACCACATGATCCAGCAACCCTACTACTGGGTATATATCCAAAGGATATGAAATCAGTATGTCAAAGAGATATCTGCATCCCCATATTCACTGCAGCATTATTATTCACAATAGCCAAGATATGGCATCACCCTAGGCATCCATCAACAGGTGAATGGATAAAGAAAATGTGGTATGTATATACAATGGAACCCTCTTCAGTCTTTAAAAAGAAGGAAATTCTGTCACTTTCAACAACCTGGAGGACATTATGTTAACTGAAATAAGCTGGGCATAGAAAGACAAATACCACATGATCTTACTTACATGTGGAGTGTAAAAAGGTCAAACTATAAAAAAAGAGAGTAAAATGGTGGTTACCAGAGGATGGGGTTGCGGGGTTCAGGAGATACTGGCCAAAGGACACAAAATTTCAGTTAGAAAGGAGGAAGGAATTCAAGAGATCTACTATACATCATGGTAACTATAATTAATGACAACAGACTGCATGCTTGAAAGTTGCTAAGAGTGGATTTTAAGTGTTCCCACCACAAAGAAAAATTATGTTTATGAGGTAATCCATATGTTAAATAGCTTGTTTTAGCTATTTCACAAAGTATACATATATCAGAACATCATGTTGTATACCATAAACACTTTTTACTTGTAAATTAAAAACTTAAAAATGGGGCCAGGCGTGGTGGCTCACGTCCGTAATCCTAACTCTCTGGGAGGCCGAGGCAGGCGGATCATTTGAGCTCAGGAGTTCGAGACCAGTCTGAAGCAAGAGTGAGACCTCATCTCTACTAAAAATAGAAGTTAGCTAGACAACTAAAAATATATAGAAAAAAATTAGCCGGCCATGGTAGCACATGCCTGTAGTCCCAGCTACTTGGGAAGCTGAGGCAGGAGGATCACTTGAACCCAGGAGTTTGAGGTTGCAGTGAGCTAGGCTGATGCCATGGCACTCTAGCCCAGGCAACAGAGTGAGACTCTGTCTCAAAACAAAACAAACCAACTTAAAAATGGATGGGTCAATAACCATTTGTAATGATGTTCACCTTCAGTAGTAGAAAGGCAAAGTATAGCCACAAGGACATATTTCACACACGATGGGGTAAAAGTTAAAGGAGTAACCATTCCAAATAAGTATTGAGGATGTAGAGCTCTGAAAACTCTCATACACTGTTTTGTGAATGTAAAACAACATGCCAATTTAAAGAACACATCATTTTGTACTTAAGTTGATGTCTCATGTACCCTATGACCTAGAAATTCTACTTCTAGGAGTAGACACTTGCATAGGTCACATGGACAATAACAGCCACTCAATTCATATTAGCTCCATCCAAGGAAAAGGACCAATAGTTCAGAGTAACTATAAAAGATGGTAATTAATGACGATTTCACAGGAAATCCTAGTACACAGCATAGAAATATAAAGGAATCATGTAGTAACATGGAAGAAACTAGTGTAGCATGTAATAAAAGAAGTATATATAATATTGAGCTAATATGTATTTCTATCAAGGTGAAAGACAGGTAAAAGAAAATTACCTTGTTTTGAGATGCATATTTAAGAAGGGAAACTAAAAAGAAAAATGGAAAGTGGTTGCCATAAAGACAGGATCATGATTACCTCTCACGAAAGAGATCTGTGACTGGGAAGAGCAATGAGTGGCTTTTGTGGAGTTGAAAGTATCGGTTACTTGATCAGGGTTGTGCTTATTTTATATTTTCAGTAATTCACTGAAACATACATTGCGTTTTAAGCACTTTCATGTGAATGTGCTATATTGCACTATTTAAAAAATGTCAAAAAGAGATGAGTGGTTTAAGAATGGAGAAAGCAAATATGTGCTCTTTATCAAACAGATGCATTATAAAACAGAGGCAGGATTTGAATGGTTACTGGGGAATGAAGTGGGCTGAAAGGAATGGTTTTATTAAGGTGAGGAGTTAGCGTAGCATATGCACTATAAGGAGGTTGATTGAATGGAAACCTTAGGTTTCTAAGATGCAAAAGAGAGAAGGGACCACCATCCAAGTGAAGTTTATAGGAAACTGAAATGGAAGGAGACCCCACACACAAGTAAAAGGATTGGCCTTAGAAGCACCATGAACAATTCATCCAATATAATATAAGGAAAATTTAGATACAGGAGGATTCATGCAGGGGCTATATGTGGAAGTGCTCTTGTGGTAGCTTCTATTTTTTTTTCAGTGAAATTAGGAAGCAGGAAGAAATTAGGAGAGTGAACTGACCAGCAAAATGCAGTAGGAGGTAAATCTGGAGATCATGAATATGATCAGCATGGTGTAGCATGTGAGTTTTTCTGAAGGTATTTTCAGCCATCATGGCAGACATGAAGCAAGTACAAAGAAATAAAACAGAATAGATGAAACACTGGACCACCTGTACCTGGAAGTCATTTCTTCATTCAAAAAATAATTCTTTTTTTTTTTTTTTTTTTGAGACAGAGTCTTGTTGTCCAGGCTAGAGTGAGTGCCGTGGCGTCAGCCTAGCTCACAGCAACCTCAAACTCCTGGGCTCGAGCAATCCTTCTGCCTCAGCCTCCCGAGTAGCTGGGACTACAGGCATGAGCCACCATGCCCGGCTAATTTTTTTTATATATATATATCAGTTGGCCAATTAATTTCTTTCTATTTTTAGTAGAGACGGGGTCTCGCTCTTGCTCAGGCTGGTTTTGAACTCCTGACCTTGAGCAATCCGCCCGCCTCGGCCTCCCAAGAGCTAGGATTACAGGCGTGAGCCACCGTGCCCGGCCAAAAAATAATTCTTGATCATCTGCTCTTGGGCAAGGGCTCACCTAGGCCTGGGAGTACCAGCATGAACAAACAGAAGTGGGCACTGAAAACACAGAGATTATATTCTAACACAGGGGAGACTTTTAGGATACCTAGCTTTCAACAGGCATAATCTTAGGATACCAATATGTAGGGCCATCCTTCAGAGGGTATAGTCCCAAGATTACAAATAATGTGCCCATGATAATCACATATAAGAGGAGTCTGCTCTGTTGGCATCTTCCATATACACTTTTGGATATTGTTATAATAAAACTTAGAAATTTTGGTGATGTTAAACAAGAGGACTATTGTCCCTTGCCCCATGGGGCAGCAGCCCATAAGGGTCTATGCTGGGGCACAAGGCAAACCACTTGCTTTATCTAACAGACTGGATGGTGAGATGTACATACACACACACACACACACACACACACACACACACACACAAACACCTCACTGAGCCGAAAAGATCACCCTGGGTAAAGATGTTTATGTGCTCAGAGCAAGGGGTTTAGAGGAGAGGAAATGGGCAATGGAGAGTGGCCACCACAGATATCTCTAAGTGTCTCCCCCCCCCACATCCCGTCCCCTCCCCCTTGTCTGGAATGTTTGGAGTTAGCTGAGCAACAGACAACTGCAGGGATGGGGGAGGGGTGTTCCATGAGGTCCAGTTGAGGAAGTTAAGGAAGGCATAGATAGAGATTTTGTTTTGTCCCCCATACTACAGTCCTACATTATAAGAGTTCGTAGCCCTTCTTCATGAAATATCCTTCAGCTATGTAAAAAGGAGGTTAATAGATGCCGGAATGAAGCTGATATAGAAAGTCATCGCAGAGAAGGGAAACTATTGGAAGGACAACAGAGAAATTAGAAAGACTAGGAAGAGACTCAGATAGAAGGCTTTAACTCTAGGAGGTAGGCAGGGGACACTGTTGATGCAGCCAGCATAAGTCTGGGGTTAGTTCCTGTGTTTGAGGGTCTACGTGTCAGGAAGAGCTGCTGCTGCTGGACACAGGCCTGCATCATCAACTGATTCACTAGGGCCATGTCAGCAACAGCCTCAGAGAGACTCTGCCTCCTTCCTATCTGCTGTACAGAAACCCCTTGTGGTTTTGTATGAGGCTAGGAGAGTGCTTCAGACTTGATTCTCAACATGACAGCCCAAGGTCTTTCATATGTCAAGTGGGGGAACATGTTGCTCTTGGGGATGATTTTTCTCCCAAGCATATACTGTGACATGGAATCGGTATATTACTCTTCCTATGAAATAGTCATCCCAAAGAGTCTGACAGGCAAGGGAAGTGAAGACCATGTAGAAAAGGTATCCTATGTGCTATTTATGCAAGGCCAGAAGCACCTGGTTCACCTGAAGGTGAAGAGAGACCATTTTGTGAATAACTTTCCAGTCTACAGTTACCATGATGGCATCCTGAGGCAAGAACTGTCTTTCATTTCACATGACTGTCACTATGAAGGCTACATAGAAGGAGTGCCAGGGTCTTTTGTTTCTGTCAACACCTGTTCAGGCCTCAGGGGAATCCTGATTAAGGAGGAAAAGTCTTATGGCATTGAGCCCGTGGACTCTTCAAAGCAGTTTGAACATGTGTTATACACCATGGCACATCAAGCGCATGTCTCCTGTAGTGTCACTTCCAAAGACAGTCAAGTGGTGTCCACCAGCTGGCAACGAGGGAGCAGGAAGCCTCATCATCTACAGGCACTGTCCTACTTGTGGTCACACACTAAGTATGTGGAGATGTTTGTTGTGGTCAACAACCAGCGGTTCCAGATGTGGGGCAGTAACATCAATGAGACAGTCCAGAGAGTAGTGGACATTGTTGCTCTGGCCAACAGCTTCACTAGGGGAATAAACACAGAGGTGGTGCTAGCTGGAATGGAGATTTGGACTGAGGGGGATCTAATAGAGGTCCCAGTGGACTTGCAGGTTACACTCAGGAACTTCAATAGCTGGAGACGAGAGAAGCTCTTCCATCGTGTGAAGCATGATGTTGCCCACATGATCGTTGGACATCATCCTGGAGAGAGTATGGGCCAGGCATTTCTCAATGGTGCCTGTTCAAGTGGTTTTGCAGCAGCCGTTGAATCCTTCCACCATGAAGATATCCTCCTGTTTGCAGCGCTCATGGTCCATGAGCTCGGGCACAACCTGGGTATTCAGCATGACCACATGGCCTGCATGTGTAAGGATAAGCACTTTTGCCTCATGCATGAAAATATCACTAAACAAAGTGGCTTCAGCAACTGCAGTTCTGACTATTTCTACCGCTTCCTTCGTGAACACAAAGGGGCCTGCCTATTTAACAAGCCGTGGCACAAAGGCCGCAAGCGTAGGAATCCAGGCTGTGGAGATGGTGTGGTGGAAGAACCCGAGCAATGTGACTGTGGTTCTAATTGTGACAATCACCCATGCTGTGACTCAAACTGTCAGCTGAAGGGAGATGCAAAGTGTAGTGAAGGACTCTGCTGTGATTCATGTCAATTTAAAGAGAAGGGAAGCGCTTGCCGTGATGTTGCGCACCCATGTGACCTCCCAGAATATTGTGATGGTACATCTAACGCATGCCCTGACGACAGGATTATGCAAGATGGCTCAATTTGTAATAACATGTACGCTTGTGTTAGAGGTATGTGTATGGACCCTACTATTCAGTGCCAGAGCCTATATGGGGATGGTGCAGAATCTGCATCAGAAAGCTGTTACAAGGGGATAAATTCAAAAGGGGACCGGTTTGGAAACTGTGGTTTAAATGGTGACCAATATATTGGTTGTGAAAATGAAAATGTAATGTGTGGGAAACTTGTATGTACAGGTATTACTTCGTTACCAAAAACCCAATCCCATCGTACAATAATCCAGGTCTTTCATGATGATGAATGGTGCTGGAGCTTAGATGCCTTTACCGATGTTGACATCCATGATGAAGGCCATGTGTTGCCTGGCACTTACTGTGCTGAACACAAAGCCTGCCTGAATGGCTCTTGCAAAGATTATTCTGGAGTCGACTTGCCCTGTTCTATAGACAAAACGTGTAATCAGAAAGGAATTTGTAATGATTTACAGCACTGTCACTGTGAACTTGGGTATGCTCCACCTGACTGCAAAAATGAAGGATCAGGGGGTAGTGTGGACAGTGGCCCTCCTGGTGAGCTAACTGTAAAACCCACAAAAGGCACAACTCAAAGTGATAGCTCTAGTAAAAAGGAAGAATCTACTACAGATGTAATTATATTATTCGCCATCATACTTTTTATAATCCTATTATTAGGTATACTTATTTGCCTCATGGGCCTTCATAAACCACCACCACCAAAAGTTGTAGAGGCTCCTCCTCCTCCTCCTCCTCCTCCTCCACCACCACCAGCAGAGGCTCCACCACCGGCCCCAGAAGTCCAGCCAGAAGAGGCTGCGGAAGAGCCTGCTGTGGAAGAAGAGGCAGGAGAAGAAGAAGGCGAAGAAGCAGGAGAAGAAGAAGGAGAAGGAGAAGAGGAAGAAGGAGAAGGAGAAGAAGAGGAGGCCTAAGAGATGCCAAATATGTAAAACTCCTGAAGCACTGATTGGGAATGAGAGGTTCAGTGAAGCAAAGGTGAAGTGGAAACAGATGACTCCATTGGCTCTGCCTGAGACCGTAAAGTTTATGAAAACATACTAATGTGGAAGGAGGAATTCCTCCACTTTTATTATTCACTTTAATAATTAAGTTTATATTTATTTAATATACTCAATGTCTTAGTATCTTTTGCTTTTTCACATTTAATTCAACTCTTAAAATGCATCATTGGATGTTAATGTCCTTAACTCTTTGGGCCTATTTTTTCAGTCACTAGAAACTGGTTTTCAGTACATGCAACCTTCCATTAAGTTGTCTGACATGCAGAACTACACATACTTGAATTTATTACTACCACTAGGATTTTCATTTTAAAAAACAACTACTTATGTGAGGACAGTTGTTTATGTGGTTGATTATTCTAACTTGCCCTATAAATGTGCATTCACGAAAGGAAGGGTTTTTAAATCCAAAAATAAATAAAACCCTATTCATATTAGACATCTCTTCAGGTTCTGTGTGGCATAGTTATTGCGGTCACTTTGTTCTGGGGCTCTCTGGGCAAGAAGATATATATATCTGGTAAGGGAGAAGACCCTGATTACCTCTGGCGAAGAGACCAGCATTGAATTCACCCACTTTGTAAATCTGGAAGATGTTTAACATGATATATGTATATTCAATAATTTACTTCTCAGTATTTCTAGGTTCTTCCTACAGCCATACTCTTTTTTTACCTGAAACATTTTTTTTTTCTTCCAGAACAGCTTTTGTTCCTTTTTAATAATTTTCCTGGGATGAATTTCACACCCCCAGATAACTCATGGCCAATGAATATCACTTGGAGTTAGGAAATTGTTTATACTGATTTTATAACAGTATAGGGGCACCTACCACAGTGCTGAGTACATGGATAAAATTAAAATATTTTCTATTGTTTAAAAAAACTTATTTACATTAATAACTTCTTGACTGACATTCAAAAAGAACCTCTCTGCTACAAGTAACAGAGCTCTGGAGGTGGCAGTTAATTCTCTGGGAAGAGAACACAAAGCAGCACCACATGTACTCACCACATGTACTCACCAGCAAATTGGTATTAACAGATCGACACTTAAGTGGAGATATAGGAATAACATGTATTGGGTGTCGGGCAGGTGGGAGGGGGGAGGAGGGGATGGGTATATACAAACCCAATGAGTAAGATGTGCAACATTTGGGGGATGGACACAGCTTGAAGCTCTGACTTGAGGGGGTGGGGGGGCATGGGCAATATACATAACCTTAACACTTGTACCCCCATAATTCGCTAAAATAAAAAGAAAAAGCACAAAGAAAATATAGTTACAACATTATTCATTCTGTGCTAGGCACCATGTTAAACACTTCACATTCACTGTTTTTTTTTTTTTTTGAGACAGAGTCTCGCTTTGTTGCCTAGGCTAGAGTGAGTGCCGTGGCGTCAGCCTAGCTCACAGCAACCTCAATCTCCTGGCTCAAGCAATCCTTCTGCCTCAGCCTCCCAAGTAGCTGGGACTACAGGCATGCGCCACCATGCCTGGCTAATTTTATATATATATACATATATTAGTTGGCCAATTAATTTCTTTCTATTTATAGTAGAGACGGGGTCTCGCTCTTGCTCAGGCTGGTTTCGAACTCCTGACCTCGAGCAATCCGCCCGCCTCGGCCTCCCAGAGAGCTAGGATTACAGGCGTGAGCCACCGCGCCCGGCCTCACATTCACTGTCTTAATTTCAATCCTCCCAACTTCCCAATGAAAGCTCCATCTTGTACATGAGGAAACAAAGACCAAAGAGTTTGCTCTAGAGCTAGCTAGTAAGTGGTAGAACTGTATCTTTCCCTATGTATGACTGAATCTACATTCTCCATTGCCTCGTGAGCCTTTTCTTTGGCTAAAAAAACCCAAAGTGACAGGGAAGACAATTGATATGACCTTAATTTCCTGGAACACAGGTTCTTCCTCAGTGACTCTAATGAAACAAAGCCTTACAAATGGATACTGATCCCTATCATGAACCAACTGCATTGTGTAGTCATTATAGATTAAAGTGTCTTTTCCTCTACCATATCCTGACAGCCTGGAGTGGCAAGTTTGCATCATTATTCAGTTCTGTGGGCCTAACTCATTGTAGATGCTCAATAAACATTGTCCAAGTGCATGATTTAACCAAATCTAACCTTAAAAATGGGGCAAGATTTGTGCCTTGGGCAGAATGCCTCTTGCCAGTTGATAGCCATTGTACAACCAAAACCTTGCTCAGATGCAATATTGCTAATTTTGAAAACCTCATGAAGTTAGTTGTAAAATGTTCATAAAACCCCAAACTTTAGGACAAGCTAGGATGGAAAAAAAAAAAAAATATATATATATATAAAAAACAAACAAACAAACAAAAAAAAAACCCCCAAACTCTAGCCATAGAAAGTTGAAGCCCATTAGGACAGACTATGGCAGGGAGGGATGAGTTTTAACATGTGCAGGCCTAAGCACATACATGTAACTTGGGATCTTAAATCTCCAGGTTGGAGAGTCAGAGTTCCCTGTAAATCTAGTATGACAACAGTCTGTTCTGCACTATGTTTGACTGCCTGTAGGAGGTGTACTCTTTCTCCTGATTCCTCTCCCCAGTGTGTTTGGGGGATTATGGGGAATATTTACATGTCCCAGTAATCTGTGTTGGTAGTCCCTTGTGACCAGAGAGGTGCTGCCCCGGGAGACTCTAGTGGTAAATCCTTGCCATCCTTTACCTGCCTTCTTTGGGCCACTCTTATCCTCTCTCAGGCCAGCAGAAATCCAGGCCCTTCCCTACTTCTCCAAAGCACAGCCAAGTCCAGGTTCTAGATTGATAATCAAGACATGGGGGAACAAAGGAAAATTACAATGTGGAAAAGACAACACATTGGGATGGTGCAGATATTAATTGATTCTGGAGTCCAGGGGTCGTGCTCTTCCCCAGGGGACATGGATCTATCATGTCTCAGCTTGGCCCCAACCTGACATATTTTCTTGTCCCTTCAGGAATGCCTGATGGAATATCCCCCCAACCTGGAGTCAAACTCCATTTGACTCAGTGAGAGGGAAAAATAATTAAAAAAAAAAAAATTCATCTGAAAAAAAATGTGATCTGAAAACCCAGATCACATCATCATAACCTCAGATGTATGTAATTCTATCTACAATGCAAACAAAGTGTTACATTGATAGGAAAAAAGTTTAGCTTCTTGTTTACCTAAACTTCATTACTAAATAGAATTTTGTTATTTTGTTATATGTCAAAAGTCTCACTGAAGTGTATTCTGAAAAGAAAAAAAAAAGCCATCTTCCTTCACTAATGAAAATGCAAAATGCTAAACAACTGTAAAATAAGTTTCACCCTGCTTCTAAATGTAAAGCTTTCAATATTTTGGATGTATTTTATCACATGCCCATTGTATATGTAATATGGCTCCAGGTAATTACCCTGCAATGGGGAAAAAATCTTCCATAACCCTCCCCAATAAATATGCACACTCAACCACCTCATATCTTATTATGGAAAATATTTATATTTCTAGAGGTTGCTGGGAAGCCTCTAGAAAGACTTTGATCTTGACCGTACCTATGAGATAGATCCTGGGTCTTTGAAGCTTGTGACATGATGTACTAAAATTGTAGACATTTGAAAGCCTCAGCAGTTTTCGTTTAGTCAGAGGTGTAGGCAAAATTTGCCTTCATTTGTGAGAGAACCTTTCAGTGAGATTTTATTTATGCAAAGGTAAATCTCAAGTCCTATTGACTGGAGTGAGTGAGAATAGGATTTACACAGCTTGACTCAATTTGTAGCAGAGTTGTCTTCAATAGAGGCAAAGTTACATTCAGATGCAGGGGTCCTCAAACTTTTTAAACAGGGAGCCAGTTCACTATCTCTCAGACCACTGGAGAATGCGCACTGTGGGCCTGGGACAAGTTGGCTGCTAAGCAGATCAGGCAGCGGCGACAAAAACACCCGGCAGGCCGGATAAATGTCCTCGGTGGGCGGCATGTGGCCCATGGGCCGTAGTTTGAGGATGCCTCATAGAGTTTGCTGTGATGTTGACCACAGTAAAGGAAGAATTTTGGTGAGAGAAAAGTTTGAAGTTGGGGCACTAAGCTTTGTTTAAGACATTCCATGTAAAGGACTGAGGTACAAGAATGCTGGAAGGTAACCCTCCCAGCAGACCATGGCCTATGGAGTCTTCAAGTATTGACATCAAGCATCATTATTTCCTATTTTCTACATTATAATCCTTGTTATTTTCAGAGAGCCCAAATACAAATACTTTTACAAAATGGGATCCTATTCTACATGTTTCTTGTTTTTTTTTTTTTGAGACAGTGTCTCACTTTGCCCCGGCTAGAATGAGTGCCATGGCATCAGCCTAGCTCACAGCAACCTCAAACTCCTGGGTTCAAGTGATCCTACTGCTTCAGCCTCCCGAGTAGCTGGGACTACAGACATGTGCCACCATGCCTGGCTTATTTTTCTATATATATTTTTAGTTGTCCAGCTAATTCCTTTCTATTTTTAGTAGAGACAGGGTCTCACTCTTGCTCAGGCTGATTTCAAACTCCTGACCTCGAGCAATCCTCCCACCTTGGCCTCCCAGAGAGCTAGGATTATAGGCGTGAGCCACCATGCCAGGTCTTCTTTCACTTTCTTTTCTTTCATTTTTACCCCCTTCACTGGTTTAGCTCTTACCCCCTTTGTGGTTAGAAATCACTGTGAGCCTGGGGCACAGCTTTCCATATCCTTTTCCATGCTCGTATAGTTATATATAGGTGTTTTGGGGCAATATTTTAAAAATGAGTTCACATTATTTACATTTATTTGAATCTTGCTTTTCTCTGCATATTGACAAGCTCACCAAGTCATTCTGTATAATTCTAAATCATTCTTTTTCATGACTATATAGGATTCCATGGCATATTGCTAAGTATATGTTATTTGTACCATTTTTCTCTACATGAACATGAATTTTGTTTCCAGAATTTTGTTTTGTTTTTAGCCATTAGAAATAATACTGCCAGCAAAAGACTTGTAGATATATAAATCAGAATAGGCCGGGCGCTGTGGCTCACGCCTGTAATCCTAGCTCTTGGGAGGCCGAGGCGGGCGGATTGCTCAAGGTCAGGAGTTCAAAACCAGAAAACTTGCCAGGTAAGTGGTACATGCCTGTAGTCCAGCTACTTGGGAGGCTGAGCAGGAGGATCCTTGAGCCCAGGAGTTTGAGGTTGTAGAGTTATGTGAGCCACTGCACTCTACCTGAGGCGACAAACAAGCGAGACTTTTTGTCCTGAAAAATGAAAAGAATTTTTTTTTTTTTTAAGCGTTTGCGTCTTCTGGCAAGGAAAAGATTTTTGTTTGAGCTTTTTTTCCACTGTGGTGATGTGGGGTACGATTAGACTAGTGCTTGTTACCACACCCTTATAACTGTATTATGTGGCTCAGTTATAATATTTGAGA